CTACTGGATTAAACACAATTTAGCTAAAATGTTACAGATTCACTTTTAATTAAAATTCGAGGAAGGATTTTTAGCAACACAATGGTTAAAGCTTAAAATTTTGCAAACGATTTTTAGCATGTTAGTGTCACTCCCTGTAATTTTTAGAACCCTCATGCTTCGATTTAGTTGAAATTTTCCTCAAATTAGTACTTCATTTTACATAAAAGAACGTTTGTGCCATAGAGAAAGGAAGGCTTACAGAAATAGCAATCCCCATATTTTGTTGGCCCCTTGGATTCTTCTCCATACGTCTCAATTCTATGCCAAACTATAATAAACGGTAATGTAAGGACTTATCCTTATATAATTAAAAAATTCTGCGTTTTTTGTAAAGGTAGATACACTTATTTTAATATACGTACGAGATCTGAAGAATGCAGTAATATCCGATTTACGAGATTCTTTATTCCCTGTTGTTAGCTTACATTTTTGTTCGTTCATTGAATTCACGTTCTGCTCCATCCTTAACAAAAGTATTAATTCGTCGATTAATACACAAAAGAAAATCAGCATCAGATATCCCTTCGTAATATAATTACATATTCCAATAATAGTTATATTCAATGATAGATCATAGTTTAATTATCGCCAATAATTCATAGATTAATTGCATATTACGTTATTTCTCTAAATACGTGTAAATAATTTACTGAATCCTAAGTGGAAATCAAATACCATGAAAACTAATTTATAGAATTCATAGTCATTTTCAATATTCTCACCTAAAATATTAGTGCTCTTTAATAAATTGTCGTACAATGATTCAGAATATTTTCATTAAATTTTCTTAGAATGCTGGGATGCACATGTCAATAACATTTTCAATGAAACGTCACTATAAACTAATATGTAAGTATCTACGAATAGAATTTGGAAGGATTTCAAGAATTTAGTGCACGTTCGTTTGTAAATTTATGTATTAGAATTATCACTTGCACACGGTTGACCTACTTGTTGCACATAACGAAACTTATTTCTTCTACGTCTCAACTGGTTACATAAACGGCAATCGATTGTGCAACATTGTGCAGTCAGGAAGGTACAATGCTTATGTTAATATAGAGTTTACCATGGTACATACGTGATATTTAATTTTCAATGAATGACATATATTTCATAAGATTATACGTCAGCATGCCTTAATGAAAACGATCGTGATAGCAGTAAGAATAATTACTGTAATAATATCTGATAACATTTTTATAAGTAGATAAAAATTCTTGAATTTACGAATAAAAGAATTAAAGAAAAACTGTTGAACTTTTTAGAAACTAATTTTCAACGTGCACACACAGTTCTTTGTTAACAGACTGCAAGTATTCATACACAGATAGTAAATTTAAATACATAAAATGACAAAATACAATAATTGCAAATAATCGATACATTATTCTCTCGGATATTGTTCTCTATTATAAAAAACAAAGAAACTTACATTTCACGATATCAAATATCACCAGATTTCGTAGACTATCTTCCAAGCCTTCGACGGAATTATACGTATTTATTAAATATTTTGTTATGCAATTCACATCAAGTTCACACCATCGTTTCTTAAATTGTACCTTAATTCTTTGTTCTTTAAATTATACACGATAATTGTGCAATGCCTTATTTTATCAACGCGCGCGAGTATTTAAGAATTAAGTTCTCAGTAAAGATTAACAAATATATATCTACAGATTATAAAACATGCAACGGTAGAGATGTCGCATTTTGCAATTTGTAAGATTCACCATAATTGTTAGAATCATAAACGAATTAATTTCAAAACCAATATATGTATAAAAATCACCAAAAACTGCATAGGAAACACCTGGGATTCACGAGCACGTCAATGATTCGCGAATGTCAAACTACAAACTACTCCGTATATTTCCGGTGGTTGTCGAATTACGAAGACGGTTAGGTACTCGGAAACATTCGCAAACGTTTGGCTGAATAACGAACGGAAGAAGAAACTTTGGCAACGAGCCAGTTGCACCCACGGGGTGTTACATTTTTCTACGTTAAACAAGTAATATTTTTTAGCATAACATACACATTGGCAATTCGTACAATGCTATTCTGACTCAATAAAGAAATCATACAACTATTTCTATTCATATATTATCGCTGGAGAAATTGGAGATTATTTATTATATTGTGAAGTACTGGAACCTGTTGTTTATTGGATACTGTAAGCCAGTGGAATAAACATATATCGATTGTTGGGTTGCCAACTTGGCAACTCTCAGGGTCACTTGCAATTACCAGAGGATAAGAAACATTTATGATTCCTTGTGCTTTTCTTCAGCCATCGAACATGACTTTTCTCATATGTATTCATAAAAAGTATTAACATTAATATTCGTTCGAAAATGTCTAAGAAGTGTGAATAAAAATTCCAATCAATATGAACAAAAAATAGGGTCAGCTTTTGTGAGAATTATACAAGAAGTACAGACGAGACATCAGGCCTTGAGTTGAGTTAACTGTAACGATATCTTTACATAGAACAAAAAATTGTCATATTGATCTGAGAAAAGCTTGAAAGCTCGAGCGGGAACAGGACCAAACTGACGTGGCGGTTAGTGACGGATGAAAAAGACATGGGGTGCGTTGGGACCACGAAGACGTTTTGTCGTCACGCAACAGTTAACTGTACAACCTCGACTCCGTGGCCCCTGTGCAAGTTCGTTTGACAGAAGGCGGTAAATTCCAGATAGTAACTGTCGTCGGCAGAATCATCGGTCAACCTAGAAGAAGGAAGGCATTTAATACCCATTTAGCGTGCATGCCTGGTCAAGGCGAGTATCGCGCGAGCGTACAAGAAAGTCAGCTCGGCGTGTTACACAGTTAGCCCAGCACGGCTGCGGCCGGTCGTTCCTGCAGACCGGCTTCTACTAAGAAATTTATATGGCAGTCTACCAGCAATTGCACACAGCCACCCCGTCGCGAGTTCGTTTATCGGATGCTGCGCTAATTGGACCACCGGCCAATGCCAATGGACTGTACTCATGACTGAGCCTCGCGAACACGCAGCTATCATCCACCGAGGATTTCGTACCTTCCTAACTATCTCTGTCGCGACGCCGTTCTTTTCGATAGTTTTTACCGCGACCCCGATATCCACTGTAGTTCGACAGACTTCTTTAACGAATAAAACGCGAAACGTTTTTTCATTCAACAATAGATGACCGAACTTATTTAAATATTTTTTAATTAATAATTGAACTGAACACCAAATTTGAAATTCTCCTTATCGTATAATCGTAGTTATCCAAGCAATGTGACAACAATGGGAAATTGCGGCTGTGTTCGCATCCAGGTGGTACAACTAAATAACTGTCCTCCTCGTATTCTATGGAGAAGGCACGAGGACGTTTCACCAGATGAAAGACAGATATTATACAGATGTTAGAAGGTAAAAAATGGGCGCCTTGACGAGCGGTTGTTTGTGCCAAGACCGTAAGGCGGTTGTAAAATATTTGGAAGTCATCCCGCCCCAGTTGTACAGCCGGGCATGGACACAATGCGCTGCGTGATCTTTTTCACGGTTTTTCACAATCCACAATGACAGGGACCGTGGCTCCACAGATGTGTCGAGATTCGGGTATTCTTCGAGCTTATGGAGACTGCCTCTGTTCCTTTCGTTACGCTAGGCTTTGAAATAGCTAATTTTGGACGGAAATCCGTAACAGCGTGGAGCAATGGATAAACTAGGCATTAAATTTCCAACAGAAGTGTGTATTAGGCTTGCACATAAATGACCAAATGTATAATTTAATGAAACATCAATTGGCAATTAACGTTTGGCTTTTATTTGGATTTGATTAGTTAAAAAATTAAAATTGTTTAATTATTTTAATTGTTGAGTACGACAATATTATTTCACATATTTCTATGTACAAGCAGAATGATTATCCAATAGCTGGAACTTGGAGTTGTAGTTTTAGGTGACGCAAGAAAATGAACAAAAAGGACACGTGTTCTCTAGTGAATATTGGAGAATTCGAAAATAATTGAGAATAAGCTCGACAATTTGGTGTTGTCAGATGAATATAAATAAAATTTTATTGTTTCTTTCTACTAATGTTACTCATTCCTTTCAAATTCGGTTTATCCTATCATTAATTTATTACTTTAATCCTTTACGCTTTGTTTCAATTCGTTGCACAAATCCATTTTAATTTTCCTATAATAAATATTAGTTAACATCGTTACAAGGTGTCGACTGGCACAAAGTGATTTATAAACCGGTTGAAATGCGCAAGTAAATTAGATTGGAAGGAATCGCGACTTGTAAGAAGTGCCGCTGCGTGCAGTGCTACTATAAAAATAAAGAAAAAGAAGATTCAAAAAGAAGGAAGACATTGTAAACCAATGCTGGATACATTTCTCCTTTTCTCTCCTACTCGTCCTGTCTCTCTCTTCCCCCTCTTTAACTAAATTAATTGCACCAATGGTAATTACACCTAGAACGCGGCGACTGTTCGCATTCACCTTTAAACGATTTCACTTCTTCTATGAGTTTCTTTTGGTTTCCTCATCATCCCGTTTTGTTCTCATGCGAACTAGTCTCTCTCGTACGACAACAGGACCGTGTACCAACCTGTTCGACGGTAGACGCAGCGGAGCTCTCCATTGACTGTTCGCACAAGCGTGAAACACGTGTTCGCACACGCACAAATATAATTAGCCCGGCATTTTTACGAGAGACTCTAGCGATATAATGTTGATTTGTCTCTTTCACTTCGCAACACGCATACCACAATTGTATTTGCTGTCGGTAGTACTATTCAAGCGAATCAAACGCATTCTGGTCCCCTGTAAAGATGCTCCTTCACGTCCGTCAGTTGATACCAATTCTACCTCTAGAATAAAAGAACTTAACGCTAAATATTGTTTCATGATATTTATACTATAATTATTCTCTAAAATAAAAGTGTAATCTTGTCTGAAGAACATATCGTTATATTATTATTACAACCATCCTGTGTTTTACACTGAGACACTCCATTACAACTAAAAGAGAATAAGTAAATAATATAAATTAGAAGTATATATCTCTCAATAATTGTCGTTATTTACATCGCCCTAGCTGAAACTAATGACGATTGACATGATCCAACGAGTTCCGAAATTCGTAACAATAGTAAATTTCGTGAAGAATCACAATGGCAAGATACCTATATGTATACAATGCTTTCTCGAAGATCCTGAGGGAAAAGGAACATTGGGTGAAGGTTACGAGTGAAAAGAAAAATAATGGTTAAGGTGGGAAAAGCGGTAGTGGAGGATTGAACCGAAATCAGGAGGACAGAACTCAGCATGATGTAAGTGTCTCAAGCTGGATGCTTTCGAAGTATCAGATGATGCAGGAAGACAGCCGAGATGGAGGAGACACGCAGCGACAAAACGGAAGGAGGGGTGGGAAGGAAGAGGCAGCGAAGAAGGGACCGAAAGACTGAGGAATACAGGGAAAGAAAGGAGGAAAGAAAGAAAGAAAGAAGGACGAAGAGAAATAAAGAGTCGCGAGAAGGAAAAGGCGATAGTCTCGGGCAGAGGAGGGAAGAGGAGGACCGTTTGTCGGACATACCTTGGGGCCACCCTGGCGTCTAATTGCGTGTAATGCACTCCCGACTTGCCAGACCTCGAGTTGCCGCCAGAGGAGAGTCGAGCGAAAAACTCGGGTCGCGCAACGGCAAAACCCTGGCGATCGCGAGGACGCGGTGCTATGTCCGGCACGCTCAGACCCACACGACGAAGATGACCGGGACACGAGGTGCTGCTTGACGAGGACGGTGAAGACCACGTTCGTTTCCCAGGACGTCGATCTCCACGTGCAGAAATACATATATCGTGTCTTTTCCGCTCGGCTTGCGTCCTGAACTATCGGAATGTCACCACCACCCTTAAACTGCCAAAATAAAGACGTGCTCTTTGCCGGATTCGAATACCCTAAAGATATGGCCCTTGGAACATTTAATATTCCACTACTAAATTATTATATATATTTGTTCAATTATTACTTGTCTCCTTGCACAATGCTATGTAATTCACCATGAGAGTGATTGGTCTTATATCTTAAAAAGTAAAATATGTACGTATTAATAAATTATGCATTTAAATGATTTTGCGGATGTGATTAACTAACAATTTCATAGATAAATCATATTTGGGAATGGATTTAAAAGAGATGATTCAAGTTCTGGAAGCGGCGTCCTTTAATCGGGGGACGATCTCCCCGAGGTCTTCCAAAGAACCGGCAGGCAGTCATCCGGTGGAACGAGAGACAACTGCGACGGCGATCATTTAGCGTAGCTAAGATTTGTCGGTAAAGGTTTTTTGTTGCAACAGCTTATTATGAATAATGATTTATATCTGGTCCAGCAGGGAGTTCCTCTCTATGGAGTGAACGTGCCGCGAGTAGATACAGGGTCGAAATAGAGACAGAGTCAAGAGGGTCGCGACGGTGCGACGGAGACCGATCGAGAGGTTAATAACAGTCGCGTGTTGTAATACTCGCCATTATCCACAAACCGACCACCTAACAAGCTACCTGCTAATAATACACGACGACGCGACGCGACGCTGCGCGGCACACACAATCACGTGCGTGATCTTTTTACTCGATTATCCTCGAATTTTTGTCAGTTTTTGATAGACAATCATTATTGCGATAGTTTAAGGTAGTTGTTGCTCTACTATTACTCAAGATAAGACTTAAAAATGAACCACTACAAATATAAGATTTCTTTCGTTGAACATATTTTTCGAATTAATAATTGTCGATTGGGAAGGTAGAGCAAAACGACGTTCTTGACGTAACAGAGAAAGTAGGCAGTACTGTTCGTACAAAAGGCAGCTGGACAAAAGTCAATTAGTAACAAAATAATTATATGTATCCGGTTGAATAGATCATTTGTAATT